AAGAAGGATCAGCTTGAAATAGCTTATTCATGGACAGCAGTTATATATTAGATGCACATAAACAGCAAATTAGATCTGTGTTCCCAAAGTGGGTATTCAGAAAGAGAATTGACCTGACCCCACACTTGCCTTAACAGATGCAAAGTGAAGATCTTTGTCCTTCTTTACTGACAAATACCTGGGACTATCTTTGAACCAAACAGAATTTGCAGTTTGTAGAATCTAGTGAGCCTGGGAAGGGGGTAAAGAGCCACCTTGCATTAACCTGGATTACATTTATTTCCTTCTTCTGCATACTTTTGCTTCTTCATACAGAAGAGAAAAATTACATGCATGTGGTTAGCAGATTATCAAAAATGCATTAATAATCTCTTTTCCTCAGCTATCTTCTCAGTAACTCCATTATAAGTTAGAACTCCACTGGTCTACAGCTACGCGCCTTAAAAGCTTGAGGAAGCACATTGCCTTTGCTTTGACCAAGCTCAGTATTTATACAYGGATGTGCTGGTTTTGGCTGGGATAGTTAATTTTCTTCACAGTAGCTGGCATGGGGCTGTGCTTTGGATTTTTGCTGGAAACAGTGCCAGTAACACAGGCATGTTTCAGTTGTTGCTGAGCAGAGCTTACACAGAGTCGAAGCCTCTTTTGCTTCTCCTACTGCTCCACTAGAGAGGAGGCTGGGGCTGTACAAGAAGTTAGGAGGGGACACAGCCAGGACAGCTGACCYCAACTGACCACAGGGATATCCCAGACCATGTGGTGTCATGCTCAGCATACAGAGCTGGGGAAAAACAAAGAAAGAGGGGGGATGTTTGGAGTGATGGTGTTTGTCACCGTTAGCTGTGATGGAGTCCTGCTTTCCAGGGARTGGCTGAACACYTGCCTGTCCGCCCACAGGAAATGTTGATGGACTCCTCATTTTGCTTTGCTTGCATGCACAGCTTTTGCTTTACCTGTTAAACTGTCTTTATCCCAGCCCATGAGTTTTCTGACTCTTACTCTTCCAGTTCTCTCCCTCACTGCACAGAGGGAGAATGCACAAAGGGCTGTGTGGTATTTACTTGACAGCTGGGGTTAAATCATGACAGAGAACAATATAATTAGAGACTACACATTTCCAGGMGGCCTAGATCCTGACAACATAGCCCTACTCAGATCTTCCTCCCTCTGCCAAGATATGCCATAATTTCTACAAAATAATTAACATTTTGGAACTACTTTTTAGACTATTGCTACTGAATAATATTTTTCTGGTGGCAATTTTCTTTTTAAACATAGGACAAGGAATGATTAGATAATGTTACCATTTTGTCTTTTACAAGACCCCAAATGGGACAGCCATCTCTTGTGATCATTCTTAATAATAATCATTAGGAGCTATGGAATATGCTTTTGCCCTTCATCTTCCATGTTTAACTTCTTAAAAGTACACCCTAACTTGCTGTGCCCATTAAACTGTTCTTAAAATCTGCCRTAAGCAAACAGAGCAAGTCCATTCTGCTGACTTTTATCTGTCTCCCATCATAAAAGGGGTAAATTTAATTAGAATTAAATACATCAGAGTGATTCAGTAATATACAGTGGTGATTYGTTTTTATTAATTTTCACCAACACAGTTAAATAGAGGCTGTAAGAAGCTTYTGCATTACCAAGACTCAAGGATCTGAAGTGAATTTGTTTTTTCACTGCATTTTCTTTCACTGTTTGAATCCAATGGTACCGTTTAGGCAGAGGACACAAACACCTAGACTTCTAGGCCTTATTCACAGACATATCACCATCTTCTGATATAATGTCTTAGGAAAGTCATGTAAACATCCTTTGTTGCTGGATAGTAGCATTTTACAGCAAGTATGAAGTTTTCYATTGCTTGTACCACTTACTCCACTCTAGACAGGAAGTTACAATAATTTTTAAAAAGCACTGATTTGTAATTAACTTGTGATGTACTTTTCCAGGTTTAATTTAGTGATTAAATCCTGTTAATTCTTGTTAAAACATGGATTCTTTAGATGACAAACTAAGCTCAGTATCTGATTGTTTTCTTAGACAAGTCTTCTAAATCCCTTTTAACAGTTTCTCCTCTTTTTAAAACTTTGACAGCACAAAAGAAAGCCATCTGAGCTTCCTCAGTTTGAGTGTTTACAGTTTTTTCTAGTTTGAAGTTGCAACCTTTCAAACAGACTGCTCTGACATAAGTTGGGGCATAACTTCAGGTTAGGAAAACCTCTGAAAGCTCAAACTGTATTTCCAGCACACCCAAATCTTAACATTGAGATAGAAATACGCACTTGCAAAATGCCATATTTGACTGACTGGTCCACTAGCCAAAACCAGCATTAACTTTTTATCTTACTTATCTTTTTCCTGAGTAAACACAGGCTAAATTTACTACAAGTAGAGAACTTGCTGTTGCCTTCAGAGAAATTAAATGTATATGTTTTTCTACTTCCATACAGTTTCTGAAATATATCCAGACTCCCTAGCAGGGAGCCAAATAAAGCCAAATAAAGGCATGCCACAGGAAAAAAAAACNAAAAAACAAAAAAAACCCCACCAAACCCAAACGGATAAAGAACCCTGGATAAAAAGTATGCAGTAGACAGTTCCATGCCAAATCAATCATGTATAACGAAGTAAAATCGATCAGCATAATGTGGGAAACTGTCTTGAGACAGGATGGAAACAAAGTAAGGAATCTAAGATGCAAAATGTGAAGTTTAGAAGACCTGCCTAAACAGTATAGTGAACCAATAGAAACAAAGTCTAGAAAGTATGCTCTTGCATGGCTACTTGAAAATGTGCTATTCATAATACTAAAAACAAAGTAAAGTTCACAAATTATAAACTCAAACAATTTTTGAGATTTTACAATCTATGCCCAAAAAACATCAAATATCTAGATAAGCACATAATAGGTTAAAACTTCAGTCATACTCTTAGTATCAAGAATTATATATTTTTAATGCAATTTATTTATTACTACTTCCTCTGTTGGAATCAAGATTTTATATGGCATAATTTAACCTGCTACTGAGTAGAAGAATTTTTGTTTATTTCTAATGTGTAGATTTAAGTTCATGAAAAAAAGACATCAGTCTCAACTGTATATTTCTTCTTTTTCTTTTACCACCTACAATTAATGGCAAAGTTAGGAAGATAAGAGACTGGATTACTGTACACTTTATCAATGAACTATTTATACTTAATTTTCTCCCATTTCTCCCCCCTTTTTCTTTCTGAAACCAGACAATCAGCACATAAAGGAACTCACTTACATGGAACACTATCACATTTGTGTTTGTTGGGCCACCATTTCATAAACATTCCAGGATGTATGGCTGTTGAAGACTGGTGCATATATAGATTTAACAAATAACAGTTCTTATGCAGAGAGCAATCACAGAGAAAAATAGCTAATCAGAACACATTACAACATTAAATTTTCACTTTTTATAAATGGAGTAAAGATGCTTTTAAATATATTTACAGTTAGAAAAAAAGGACTTAGGATTACTACAAGTCAAAATTATTTAGAAATTATGAAAGTGAAGTTCATTTAAATTATATTATGAACAGAGTCAAATGTAGCATTTTGCTTAGAATTTGTCTACTTTGCTGTCAGTATTGTCATATCACTTTAATCACCAACAGGCAAAAACTTAACTTTGCTTAATGCTAAAACAAGCATTTAATTGCAATGAAATTCTGGCCACCTAATTGTTCAGTTAAAACCACCACAGCTTTTTAGATCCTCACTTCCAGTTAAAACCACCACAGCTTTTTAGATCCTCACTGACTTCCATTGCCCCTGTATTAGAAATGCTCTTTAGTTATTTTGTTCCATGAAGAATAGTGAGACTTTTTGCATTCTTTTTGATAACCATACTTGTACCACATTTTTGAGATTATTCTCTAGAGACAGTTGAATCATAGTAAAATCCACTCCATCCTTCCATCCTTTCAAACCAAATGGCTACTTAATTCTGAGGATAGAGTCCTCATGTTGGCAGTGCTGGGTGGTTTATTCACATAAACTTAAATAAAAATACATTTCCCCTTTAGTGAAATACACAAATACTGGTGATAGATGATYATTTAATAGCAAGGAATTCTGAAATGTGTTAGCATTCATTATGTTTTAAATTAGAAACACATTTCATAAAACTTCTTGCAATGAGATTTTCTATACTTAAACTGCTTACTTAAAACAGTTTCAGGTATTTTGCAATCCATTACATCAGTATATTCGGCAAATAGTCCCACCTAAAAATAAAATATAAAAAAATAAAGTTGAGAAGCATGTTCTTTTAAAAACTAGTGTATGTTATTCTGAACACTAGCCCGGCCCCAAAAACATTTAAGAATCTTAAAAAGCATTATTTTACAGATACTAAATTTGGCCAGGTAACAGCAATGAACAGACATCCTATTTAGTAAGATAAAGCAGAATACATAATAAACAGGTCAGTAGTTATCCATCTGAAATAGCCTATAATTAACATTTGATGTCTAAAAAGTTTAAACAGCAACACCAAGGAATGAGGTATGTATGTTCTCAGATATCACATCAGACTCTCATTTTATGCAACTAACTGTATTTCACAACTAGCATCTTACAAAATAGAACAGTACCATTGTGCCTGTAGAAGTACTGCATTAAAAACAGAAAAATACATTACTACAWGAAACCACCAAACATCACAATTGTCAGGGGCTACAAAAATCCATAGTTTTAAGCTGTTAAGAAGACGTATCATATATTGGTAATAATTTGAGGCTGGATTTACTACCAAGAAGGTCCATCCAACTTTCACATGGGCTTAAAATATATTTACTTTGACTGCAAAAGAAAAGGTTCGCGGGAGTGTAAGTGCACTACATCACCAAAATGAGCTAAATGGACTTTGTACTGAACCAGAATATATAATTTAAAATCTATACATGAACTGTATGTATGTATCAAAACACTTATTGGTTGTAAACAAAAATGCAAAATCTGTATTCACAAAAATATTTTATTGGTAATTTTACATAATACCAGATGGTATTGTAAATAGTTCTGCTCTGTATCAGTATATTGCTAAGTGCATAAATGTTGACAGTTTATGCCATAAAATAGGATACTGAGTCTTTTTCAAATTATTTATGACATAATATATTCTAATAGGCCAATCAACATCAAAGAACTTGATTCAGGAACCAAAAAAAAAAATAGAACTGTTATTTCCTTATTCTTGTGCAACATCTGATATTCCTGTACTGAAATTGTAAGTGACTATATGACACTAGAGAAATCTGGGGCAAGAAAACAGCACTAAGCAGAAATGAGAACTGCAGTTCTGTTCTTTTTAAAGCTTTTCTAAACTTCTATATTTCCAAATAGTTTTTGCCAAATGCATCACGAGGTTCAGTATTTGTTACACAACACAGAATACCAGTGTACAGCGACAATGCAGTACTTTACCTGAATTGCAAAGTTAACTAATCAATGCTTAGAACGTGTTTTCTATTTTGCTTGTAAACATTACAATAAGTGTTTTAAGTGTCAAAAAATATTGGTAAAACCATCAACATAATTCAGTAACAGTAATCTAGTAAAATGTGTTAAACATTGGCAAAAATCCATACAAATGTTTTCTTTAATAACATTTTTCCTATTTAACCACACCAAGTACCAGCAGGTGTTTTTAAGAAGATAATTATTATGAAAATTCTGTTGCAGCAATAGTTGATTAAGTTGATCTTTGACTTGCATACATATAACTATGYTTCACAATTCTCAAATAATACATATTTAGGCAGCTTGAACTATGTTATGAAAATTTAAATTCAGTACATGCCAATAGTAGAGACTCCAAGAGTTGTGTTAGAATTCACTAAACTAAAAGTGAAAATGGACATACCAATAACACTGCATAATGAACATTCAAACCACATTTTCATGGCACTCTTACACATGAAGATTAAAACGTTGGTCGGAAGATGCTTCATAAGCATTTGTAGATTGAATTTAAATTCTTACAGAATCACAGAATAAGCTGAGTTRGAAGGGATCCAGAAGGACCATTGAGTCCAAATCCTGGCCYGGCACAGGACATCCCCAAGAGTTACACCACGTGCCTGAGAGTGTTGTCCGAACAGTRTTTGAACTCTGTCAGGCTTGGTGCTGTGACCACTCCCCTGGGAAGCTTGTTCCAGTGCTCAAACTCCCTCTAGGTGAGAAACCTTTTGTGGTATCTAAGCCTTCCTTGACTCAGCTTCATATTGTTACTTGCTTCTACCACTGCACTTTTTTACTTTTTTTTTTTTTATTTTAAACTGCATTATATCCTCATCAACATATCAATTATGCATGACTAATCTGTCATGAAAATGTGGTAACAGGTGACAGAAGTTATGTATTTGCATGTTTTGAAGAGATTAAAGAAACTGGAGGAAATAAACTTTAATGAGATTCTCCATTCAGTGATGATGCTTCTCCTCTGGGTGAAGATGACCTGGACATTCCCCTCTCTGTGTTGTCAGAGCTAGAACCACTCTGACTGTGTTGATCTGCAGAAGCAGCACTGGAAGTAGGTGGTGACTTAGTTTTCTCCTTAAAGTCTGTAATTATGACTGTCAGATCTCCAACGGTAACTTCCAAATGCTGAGCGCTACTTCGATCCACATTTTTCAACCTTGGCCTAAATAAAGCAAATAATCATATTAAAAGCACACACACCATCTTATTATCTTGTCTCCCTCCTACTTTTTAGGAACTCTGGAGAACATAAGTGTATATAAGACTTCTTTTTGCAACATGTAATATGTAGGAAAACAAGGTACCAGAAGTATTAATGGTTAAGTGTTTTCTAGTATGTTTCACATTGAAATAGTTGAATATAACACATCATGYCCTCCTAAAACTATTTAGAAGTTAACATTATGAATGTCACTGTGCAGCAATATGAATGTGCTGCACATGTGAAGGTTTTCACTTCTAAAACTCAAGACTTTCTTTATTGTGACTATGCAAAGTTACAAATTTGATCCAGTGAAACATCCATCTCTGCAGCAGCCTGAAGCAACAATTCCAAGTAGAAAACGACATTAAAAGATGAAGATATTGGCATCTGTCTTTTGAATTCAACAGCACAGACAGTTTTAACTTGCAGCATGTGTTACCTCRTTTCAAAATCTCACTAGGACCACTAGTATACTGTTTGAACTTTGTGTTCACAATATAACTCTGGCACCCTGGCATACACTGCTTTAAATTCTGCAGAGATTAATGTTACATACAATGTAGATAGGGTAAATCTCTTCATCTACTCTTTCAATTGTTTGATTTTTCACAACAAAAAGAGCTAAAGAATAATTTGACTTATATTTTGCCATCATGTTTTTTGCTAGTGACAAGCAAAGTACTTTCAATTTAGTCCTTTCCCATGACCACCAAAAAAAACCTGTTACCAGATACTGAATTTATACAAGCAGTTATGAACCGCATAGTTTGTGCATTTAACTATCACTGGCTCCACCTGCAATAAAACAATGACATCACGTTTGCAGGTGTGATAACAGCAAAGGCCTAACATTTACCATATCATCTGACCTTGTTTGAAACAGAATTGCTTTCTGTTCACTTCAGCTGAAACAACTTATGCCATTCCTCCACTAGAACTGAGACAGTCTTTGACCTCATGCTCMCCTGAGGCTGAAGCAGCATGACTGAAACATTTCACAAAAAACTGAAAATCTGCTGCTCTACCACATAGAAATAGAGATAAAACTTCAGAATAATCAACCTGGRCAAATACCATACCTGGAGATTATTATACTGAGTGTGCATGAAGATTTTTATGGTTGTTTCGAGGAATAATGTACACATTTTAAGGCAAGAATAAGATTATAACCTTTTCCCAAAGAATAATGAAGAAATCTGCTTAAACTAATCAAGCAATCTTAACTTCCTGTCCTACCTAGTAATACATTTCTTGGAAAAAAAMCCAACTGTTTGATTTAAAAAAAAAAACCCAATTCTTAATATAAGGTATTGCCGGTATTTCAATCCAAGATTTTATCTTACTTATTTTTTTAATTTCCTTACTCTTACCTTATTTTTTGCATTTTTACCATACTATTGCAACTTATCCATCAATATTTCAGTTTATAATTTTTAATTAACTTAAGCTCACTATGCTAATGTCAAATGCTTCATAGCTTAAGTTCTTCAGCTGCATGAGGTAAGCTTGTAAATCTGAGTATTTAAGAAAGAAAAAAGGAAAGGAAATAACATCTCAATGTCCTTAATCCTAACCCTGACTTTCCTAAYGACTGCTCTCTCTTGTGTCTCAGTCTCTCCCTTGTTCTGATCCTAATGATCCTATTTCAGGCACAACAGAAGCATCTGCTACTTCTCTGCATAACTAATCCCAAAGGATATTTCTTGGCTGGGCTACTTTGAGTGCTTCCCAAAAAAAAAAAAAAAAAAAAAAACAAAAAAAAAAAAAAACACCAACTAAAAACCACAGAATTCTTGCCACAATAACTTTATGCTTAGATTGTGATGAATTAGAAGTTAAATCTGATGATTTTGCTTAGCACTTTGCACCCTCCTTCTTTACAGCAAGATCAAGGSTTTTATAACTGCTTGTCTGTACTGTAATATCTCAGTTCTAACAGTCCTTCAGCACCCCAGATGTAGCATAGAGACTTCTATCACCAGATAATACACATACCTTATCCTGTCACATTAATATATACCCTAGTTCAGCCCTTCAAAGCTGAAGGGTTCTACAAGGCTATCAATAACCAAGTTACTTTCCCTACTCATCTGCAATCTGCTACCGGTTCTCTCTCCTTCCACTACTATTTTGCATAAAAACTAGTCACTCCCATCTCCTCTCTTTTCCAGAGATTAGTATCATCAACTTCCCTATCAACAGTTTTGTATGGTGTGAGAAATACTTCTATAAACCTTAAAACAATATCCTTAATAACCCTTCAAATGTCTGTTCTCTGTTCTCTGTTCAGCTGATCTCCATCTTCTGGCCACAACTACACACTGCAGGTCTTCTTCATGTTTTATAGACAACCTAAACCAATGAAACTTCATGTCAATATATAACCTGTTTGCCACACCACTTAAAAAGCAGTAAAATCAAAGAACATTTTCTGATTTTTGTTAGTAAATTACGTTTTACCAATATTGCAAAAGTTTCTGAATTTTTTACCTGGTTTTCTTATGACTGTTCTTTTTGCTTGTCGTTTCCTTTTCACTTTTTTCCTTTTCTACTTTGTCTTTTTTCTCTTTTTTTGATTGTGTAGGGGGCACAAATTGCTGAGGAACCTGTTGTGCAACCAGCTGAGAGACAGGTCGAGGTTTCCTGTGTGCACATATATATAGACACACATAATGCTTAGACTTCACAAGTCTCAAACTGTCTACACTTCAGTTATTAATATWAACCATCACTGTAAGAAGAAATATTGTTTAAACATACCTTGTTGATAATACTGCATTGAGATAGCATATAACATTTAACATCAGAGCCTTTGGTTTCACTTACTTGCATTATCAACAAACAAGATTTCTTTTTTTTATTTTACAGGATTTAGAGATCACACTTTGCAGTGCACCCTCTTCTATCAGTTGTCATATCCAGACAGAGAGCTCAGWGTGAGCTCCAAAAGACAATGCTTCCTGGTATTACTTTACCACCCACTCCCAGTGCTTTCAAATGCTGAAGTGGTCTGTTCAGCGTGTAAACAGCTCCGGCACAGAAGTAGACAATCCATATCACAAAAAGGAAAAAGCTGACCTTTGAGGTAGCAGAGCTAAAGCCATGGTTTGCCTTAYAGAATAAAACTTAAGTGTTTTCGGCTCAAACAAATTAATTGGAAACAATAATAAATACTGTTATCATCTTTATCATGTTTTTCACTAGCCAAAAATATACTGCATTAGTATCAGTAGGATATAGTTGTCAGAACAAAGCTTTGGATGTTGATGACAGAAACATACGACCACATTCCATCAGTATACACAGTGCAGGTTTCATTTGAAAATTTTGATCCAAGCTAAAAACCTGTGTGAGAAAGAGCAACAGCAGGCAAAAGAATTTCAACAGTTTATTATTTTTACATTTTCCGAAATATTATTTTGAAATGGATTCTTTTTTTAAATTCTGTTTTGTATTGGAATACAATGAATCCTAGTTTAAAATGAAATATTTTACTCATTCCATTGCAAATGTATTTATTTGTTCTGTAGTTTTGGAATTAAGAAATTTCAAGTCATAATATATTAAAATAGGTTCTGTTATTAAGACCTTCAGGATGTAGATTTCTTCTCCAAAAGAACATTTACCCTGTCAAGCTCTTGGGTTTTGTTAGTTGGATTATGATGTTAGGATTTTTAAAACAGAAAAAGCACAAACTATATGCACCATCATACTCTGAAAATACAAAACCATTATTAAAGCAACAGATGTTATCAGCTCACACACATACTTATTTATCCCAACCCACAGGACCACACTACTGGCACTTCCTGCTTAGGTGAAGAAATGAGAAAAAAAAAGCAGGAAATCAAGGCAGCTCACATTGACAAGTTATACTTTCAGTAATGATTGCAATGGTTCAAGTTACAGAGTGAAAGCCAAATTACAAAAGTTCATAAAGTATGGGAAAGGCAGTTAATATAAATCAGATGAGATTTCATGAGTGTTCAYAGCCAGTTCATAACTAATAAACTAAATGAAAAGACTATTCTCAACACAATAGAACTTTGGGGTAAAAACTAGACTGCCCCTCATCCACTCATGAACTATGCTTATGCTGACTCATGGAGAGATGAAGAACAGGAACAAATCCCTTTAGTGAAAACTACCATCTTATATCAACTGAAAACTATATAACTACAGGMTTTCCAGGAGAGCACTAGGACCTTGCAGAGCACACACTGTATCGAGTTCACAATGAACAAATCAAATTGASTCGATGGACTACAAATTTGTAGGTTAACAGAGTACAGGAGACATTTCTAAGAAAACTTGTCTGAGAATTGTTTTGACCTTTTGTCATAGTAGTTCATAACAGAGCAAGAATCACCAAGGTGTAACTGATGCACAAGCTTATAATTTCAGTGGAAAACACTTGTGATACATAAAGAAAACTGATKATCTGTCTTGAATTGAAGATTGTTCCAGGAGACAGGGACACACTTTTTCATGACAGTCAAGTGACAATCCCATCAATACTACACAGTGATCTGAGAGAATAATCTGATGTGTTAGTTATGAACTAAGACACTAGTGAACTTCTTGACACAGAATGAATTGTTTCCCAGGACTGTGGACAACACCATGATTATGGAAACATGTTAAAAAGGGGTGGAGAGGGGGGAAAAAAGTCTTAGCCAAGTAAGTTCTCAATTTAAAACAATTTCAGATCCTGAGGGCAAACTAGATAATTTCTATTACTGTACAGATGGGAAATTAAGCTTAGTTCTAAATYCTAGGTTCAGAACTTATTTTCCTAATACCATAAAACAAATGAGACTGGAAAAAAAATCTTTGCAACAAGGAACAGAAGACAGTAAGGACAAAAAACCACAGAGGAATCRTGTTTTGGAAAAATCACTAAAAATTAATCAAGAAATTCTATGTGGTTTTGCTGTGACAAGAGAATCCACTCAGTTATTTTATTCCTTCCATTAAACAGTCATCTTTTTGTTGTCAATTTTTTCTATGGCTATCAGTTACATCTCTGTTCTAAATTTTATTATCTGCTTTTGTCACGTCCCAATTTATTAAAAGAGGCATTCAATGTTCCTATATTTTAAAAAACTGAGAAAAAAAGTAATCCATCTCTTAACACCAGGAATGCYTTTCAAGTGTTCAGGCTTTCCCCCCCCCCCTCCCCCCCTCGAGGTACTCAAAAAGGGCTAATGAACTGCAACCAAGCACTTTGCAAGCCACATAACTACTACACTCATGAAGCTTGAACCTGATAGAATTGTTCCTCCTTAGTGKTTGCTGAATCATGTCATTCAAGCATGAATGAATTCATACAGAAAAGGCTATTTCAGAGAAGATAAAGGTAATAGAAACTATYCCTGTAACAAGAACTTGATTTTTATCATTTGCCAAAATACATTTTAAATTCCTGGTTTTCAAAATCAGTTAAAGACTTCTTGTAATACACTGCTACAGATTAAGTAGATACAGACAACGTTAACACGGTCTTTTGTTYATATTTATGGTAATTTGCTTTTTAAGAATATTCAAGAGCACTTGAGCTAACTAATGTTTAGCAAGAAGCTCTATAATCTTCTGCACTAAGATTACAAGCATTTTTGCCTCTATCACTGGACCATTATTGGACCACCACCACTGAGCAATCTAGAACTACAAGCAGAAATGTTCGCAAAAACAACACTTATTATTTAGCCAATCCCTAAAAGCTTTGCATTTTTACTTTGTAATTCTGCTTTAGTTACTTGAAAGGGAACACTAAGAAAGAAATACATACACTATTGCAGCAGATAAGAGCTATCAATTCTTTCCAAAAGAAAGAATGGGGGTTGGTATGGGTATAGTTTATGAACTATACCCATACCAACAAACCAATTTAATGAGCTTCCAAGAGATCACTAAACATCACGTCTCCAAATATTACCTCTCTTTCTCTACTGTCTAGTTTTCCTTTTCAGACAGTGTTAGCCTTTCTTCTAAGTTAACATCAGCCGTACTTCTACCTACACTTCTATACCAATGTCATCTATTACAGTTTTATTAATTATCTAATTCCAATGTTGTTTTCAAGGTCCTACATATAGTCTTCTTAAAAAAATCAGGAAAACTAAAATTTTTGGGTTTTAAATAGCCAACAGTCATTAATTCAAGCATGCAAGGAGGAAGTCTTTGTCCTCTCTAGAATTCCCATAACTACTCCACTAAAAGGATGTAATTTTAACTCTATCTTCTTGTTCTAGGATGTGATTACATTTTATCTTATAGGATTTGACTAACTGCTGGTTTAAAAAGCATATTTACAGAGACTTTGTACATACATATGTACAAAGACAAGGGACTTGTCTTTGCTTTAGGTTTTGTGTGCAGAAACTCATTCAATACTGATGTCCTCAAAGGAAGAAAATATTTAACACTGCGAAAGAGGGACTAGTTTTCATTGTTAGCATTCTTAAAAAAAAAAAAAAAAAAAAATAAAAAAAAAAAAATCTTTATAGCACAGCAATTTACATGCCTGGAGTTGAAAAATTCCCAAGAAGACACACAGTGCACTAAGACCACAYSATATCTGCAACTGTTGCCCTGGGTCATTTCCATGTCCCAGAGCTCAACAGAGTACCTTCCTGCACGTAAATAATTTTGGACATCTCACAGCACAACATGCTTCCTTGATTTCCCTCACCTGGTATTCACCAATAACCTATGTTAATAGCATTTTGACTGATTTGACAGTCATATCAATGACTATCAGTTATATAGTGAATAACTCRATCTCATTACATCAAAGCAGGTCCATTTTGAGAACCAAAATAAACAAAAAATATCTATGCATAATACTAATCATCAACATACAGAAGTACAGTAAACTCCCAATTGCCCGAGTTGTGCATCAAACATGCTGACAACCAAACTGGCTTAATGTTGAAGCATTTTGGGGTTTAGCTGAATTTCATTTAAGCTTCACATTTGCACAGTGCTGCTTCTGCAGCCATCAGAAGTCCATAAGGCATCTAATGTTTTCTGCACTACTCAGAGCATAAGCTCCAATTCTGACAGACCTGAACTACTTATTTGTCAATCAGCTTTAAGGTTCATCTGCTAAGTTCTGGAAACAACTAGCATGACGGGGGGAACTGAGTTTTTCCATAAACTATCTTCAAATCTACCTACATCTCAAGAGAGTCCTGCATAAGCATGAGATATCCCTGCATGTAAAGTTGGGAGCAGATTCATCCATTTGGTGCTGCATATCCTGAATGCCCAGAGCCAGCCAAATAAGATTGCCAAGCAGCACATACTGCAGCCAAGCAAGTGAGACTGCTGAGCACAGCATGGAGACATCAACAGTCCAACGGAGCAGCCAACACATTAGGTTTGATTCAGTGGGGACCATCCAGGACTGGTCCACACAGAACCAGTAGCCCTATTCTCCCAGTACCCACAGGTATCTCAGAACATAACCTATACTTCTCTACACAGAAATCTAGATGCTATAATTAAATCCCAGTGCTTTTTCCAACCCATTGTGGGAAGTAAATTGTCATYCATAACGTGCAGTTTAGAAAGTTCAGACATCCTGAAGAAAGGGCAACCTACTCAAAGGCACACTCTTTCCTGAAGCTCTCTCTCCT